AAAGGCGAGGCTCACCAAGCCATTTATCTCTCTGCCTTCCAATTAACCCCACATGTGTTTATTGGCCAGGTTGGCACAACAAGCTTTAACTATCTCAAGTAATAATTTCATTTTATTTTACGTTGAAACAAATACCAATATGTTTGGTTATAACATCCTTCACTTCCTGAGCTATGCCTTCTGTTATCCCTCAGACCTGGTACTTTACATATTTGTTCCAAGTTTCTACTCAGGGTGAGGGATTAAGAAAATTCTGTGAACTGTGTAGAAATGCCACTGCCTGACCATAGCACCAAGAGGGAGAAAGAAATAATTATACCTTGAATACTCATAGATATATTTTCCACACTGATACATTAAATTTTGCTGTATCTTTTCTGATAACAAAGGCTAAAAGGGGACTTTTCTATGGCCATATAATTCTTGTTGGAGAGGAGGGATAAAGGCAGCTGTGTGTGTCCATATGCTCACATGCATACACACACCTGGTCAATGGCACATTAGTTAGTGGGATGGTCTTTAGTTAATCAAAATGCTTTGCAGGTCTGTTAAGTGTATTTCCTGTAAAGCATTGCTTCTGGCCCCGCTCTCTAGAAATTATGAGAGTATGAAATGATGAATTCTTTGATCCTGTTATTTGAGTCTTACTTTCTCTTTTGTTGTTGGTTTTTAATGCCCCAATATTGTTTGTGTTCAGGACATTTTCCAACATTTGCTTTGATCAAGACTAAGTGATATTAGTGCAAAAGAATAAATACTAAGAAAGATAATGCTGGGGATCTAGGATCCCTTTTATGTGAATATTTTGGCATAACATACGGTTTTAAAATGGTGCTATAAAGTGGTTCTGCATTTCCATGATGAATGGTGCAAGAGAAAAGTTGTGGCATATGAGGGCAATACATAACTATAACAAATGCCCAAGTTAGGTAATTCAAATTAACAAACCTATTGTAGCTCAGGGAAGAGAATTTTCTTTTCTTTCTCTTGCACAGTAAACATTTTCAAATTCTTTGCTATACAATTATTTAACAGCTATTATAATAATGAAGTATAATTATTAAATGTTTTTCTTCCTGAAATTCAAAAGTCTTTTCTTCCGCAACATCAGGAATCTATTCAACAAGCATTTTCTGATGTTTAAAGAGTGCAAATATTATGATTACATCTGGGAGTATAAATAGAAGTAAGATAATATTCTTGTCTTTATGAAAGTGTTCTTTAAAGAGGAAAAATATGAAAAACTATGAGTTACTTTAAAATCCATGCTAGTGGACTAATGCAGCCATTTGGACTAACTTTAAAGGAATGGAGGTTCAAGAAGATACTTTGAAGTGTCCTTGGAATAAAGTAATTGTATTTAGCTGGAGTATGATCTTTCTTATTCCCCATTATAATTCTAATTACATAGATCATAGGGATATAAATCTATGCAAGGAATAGTAGGAATGAGAGAAAATTAAGGAATTTTAAAAATATATTAGTCAATACAGCCAATAAGAGTAAGGTAGATAGGAATTTCATTCATTAGAATGGGGAAAACTGGAACAAGAGTAAATTTGAAGGTTAAACTTTAGATATACTACATTTAAGATGTTTATGATACAGGGGTTGTATTTGACTATAAAGAAATGAGAAACTTAAGTCTGAATTTCGGGAAAGAAAGCTCTCCTAGAGATATAACATTTAGATTATACAACACTGGATCAAAGGTGAACCACGGGATTGGGAAAGAATGTATCGAAACAATGAACTTCAATGGACACAGTGATTATACTCACATCTAAGTTTATCTGGTCTCAAAACTATTAACACAATGCATACAATGCATACCATGACAAACAGATTAGTGCCTCTTCCATCCATGTCACTAGCTACCCCACCTCTAACTGGTAAATATCCGATGGCTTCGTCAGAGACAGTCTTGTTTCGCTCAGCCTCACTGACCT